CAAATACATCTCCCACATGTATTACATTACAAAACAGTTTCTTCTTTTAACAATTAATGGTCAAATACATCTCCCACATGTATTACATTACAAAACAGTTTCTTCTTTTAACTAGTAATGGTCAAATACATCTCCTACACATGTTACATTTAAAACGGTTTCTCATTTGAGCAACACTCAATTCACCCAACCGATGTAAATCTTAATGCGTTATAAAAATGTTTCATTTTTTGACAAATAACGTCTCTTCAACAGCGAGACTTAAAAGCAGTAAATGCACTCTTTATAATCTGAAATAACTGTATGTGTTTCAGGTTGTATTTTGGTTTTAATGATCTAGCTTAAGTCTCACATTTTGTCTGAAAATGTCATAGAAAAGTTCAGCTTTTAGCCATTTGTCGTATTTTAGAGTCATCGATGATGCATTAAATAAAACAGTTCTAATATGATTGTTTGTTAATGTATAAACCACAGAAAATTTGATTTTTCTTTAGGCTGTAATTCCAACACCAATATTTTTTTTATATCTCTCTCTTGGGTCATCACTGACTATAACAAAAATGTTAACACCTACTTATGATAGAAAATATGCACTGCTCAGCTAAGAAAATACTATTTGAAAGAATATCAATATCAAAACAAATAAATAAATAAAACTTCACGCCAAAATGTGACAAATACTTTAGTATGCAACGTAATTTCGAAATCAATGAGATATGTTTTGTAAATTGGCGGGATCTTCATCATGTAAGAAAAAATAGTTACTTTTTTGAAGGAAAACATATATATAAAATATATCTACTACGTTCATCAATTGTTTATTTTTTCTTATTTATTTTATAATATAAATTGTAACATTTAACACTTTTTAGTATTTCAAATTTCTAAACTTGACTTTGAGTAAATTTTGTAAATATTCCTACATCAAGAGTAAGTTTTTGGCTTTTAACTTCTGTTAGTACGTAAGTGACTGTTAAAAGGTTACAGTGTGTACTACAAAACAAATACTAATATTTAGGCTTCAGTCTGGAAACGTGATGCAATCTCTATGCATATACTAGTATAAAACCCCGTCAAAAATGACGGGAAATCAAATTCTACCAAATTTGAATCCTCCACTATGCATCTGCAGCTTTGCCACCCGTAAACAGACATATGCAAAATAAATGGCCTTCTAGCTTGGGGAATGGTAAGCCTATCATGAGCAATATCTCCTTTACCTAAAGAGAGGCTCTTCCCAGCTTCGATCCTTGTCCCAGCATTCATTGATGACAGTTATTTTCTAATCACATCAATTGCATTACTGCAATAGTTCTGCTAAAACCACATTTCTTGTAAGTACTCGATCATCGTTCAAAAGCTACTCTTCATAACAAACGGCAAATTAATTTCTCTCGGTGCTAAATAAATCCTTGATTTAAAAAAAACCCTCTTTGACAGGCTTATATATGGCAGAAAAAGTGCCAAAATTTAGGAACTATTTACGCTGTTAGCGATTGAATTCAACTAAAATGGGAAATGGGCAATGAAAAGACAAAGTATTATAGGAGAAAAAAAAAGAAGTTCGGAGAAATCGAGCGTAATCGACCGACACTTGGCTTTTATGATTATGATGATATATGTATATTTGTATATACTTAAACCTTAAATATTTATGTTAAGAAGCAGATTACATTCAAAACAATTTCCATTCAGCAATGTAAGTTGTTTCGTAATAATGCAATGACACAATGCTATTATATATATATATAAATATAATAAAGGATTTGTGCTTATTATTAACACTTTGGCTGGGACATTACAGAACGTTAAGCAACTCTTTACTACCAATTAAATGGTCGCCAAGCATTTGTATTTGTGTTTTTTACAATAGCTTCTGGCGTCCATAACTTGCATATTCTTGTGTACAGTGAAGCCGAGAATAGCCTAGTAGTTGGCGTGCCGGACTGCGTATTAGAAGGTCTGAGGTTTGTACTGCAATGCCACTGAACAAGTTAGCGCTTCAGTTGTGGGTGCTTTATAAAAGTGATAGTCGATCCCGTTATTCGTTTTAAAGAATCCGACAAACTTTTGTAGCGGCAGTTGCTTCTAAATAACTGCCATACTTTTAGTCAGTAGTTCAAAATTAAGTTCGGCTGTATCTGAATTCTGTGGGTCTCTGACCTCGCCTTTTAGACCATGTGTTGCATAATGTAAAATATCTTCGTTCACTCCAACTGTCTCACGTTCGAGCAAATTACACTTTGCTGTTTAGAAAAAAATGCATTGAAATGCCTTTGAAGTATGCAGTTGAAACCTACTTTCATAACACACTATAAAATGTAGCTTAGACTTAGATACAAGAAAAAAAAGTCTTAATACGCTTCATTTTGTTGCAAAAATCTTTGGCGATCCACCACTCGCTCGCAAACATAAAAATAACAGACAACTTACAACACTCAGCATTTGCCATAGTCAAACTGTAATGTTCTATGCATTGAAAACCCTTTGTGGATAATATGTAAATATAACAGCAAACGTTAGCGTGGCTTTACACTACCTTCAACGTTAGTAAGCCATCCATAGACGTTACTACATGTTAAACTATTCACAAATGGTTACCGACTCAAACAAGTTACAGAAGAGACTTTCTCCAACCAAGAGAACAGAACCATTAAAAAACATTTTAGCGATTTAAAACTTGGGGTCTTGGTGTAAACGGTTCAGAACAATTCTTACAACATGACACATTTGATGTAAACCGCTCGGAGCAATTCTTACAATATGATATCCTTGGTGTAAAAGGCTTAGAGTAATCCTTTCAATGTGAATGCCTTGGTGTAAACGGTTTAGAGTAATTCTTACGATAAGACACATTTGGTGTAAACGGGTTAGAACAATCCTTACAATATGACGCTCTTGGTGTAAACGGCTTAGAGCAACCCCTTAACTTTTATATGAGGTTTTTATATAAACCTGGAAATGGAATATCAATTTTATCAGATCGATGCAATAAGTTTCATTTTTAGGAATGTTTTCTTTTCAGTGAAACCGTCTAATTTG